AACCCAAAATTTTGCTCACACGCTCTCTTCATCTCAATAATTAATCTAAAAAAAAAAAAACTAATGTGCACCCCATATGAGTCCCCTCCAACAATGAATCTAGACAAAACAAGTGAAGGAATTCATGATGGAATTATAAACAAGTGTATCAGTTACACCTTCCACGCTATATTAGACCTCATCAAAAGCTACTTAGAATAATATATGTATAAATATATATAAATATGTATGCATATATATAAATGTGTATGAATCTATCAAATTAAATATATGTTTCTAAGTATAATTCGCCAACCCTCACATGTATGTAACCATATGTATAATTAGATTGATGGATACAGGTGAACAGTGAGACGCTGGCAAAGATACCCATGTTTCCACCCACTATGAATTGGGCTATACGTCTTATTGGTTTCTATCGACTGCATGAATGGATTTGCCTAATTGGTAGAACTAGAAGCCTCACAGTTATATCTAAGTCAGTAAGAGTACCCTTTTGACTTGGTACCTGACTACTTTCTAAGGTTAAAGCATCTCCCTCTCAACCCAGACACTTTATCCCAACCCTTTTTGCCATTGATGGAATTGAACAAATTAATCTTCATTTCCTGACATTCTATAACTAATGAGACATTCCCTGTCTCTCCTTACGAAAGAGCATAATATAGCCCAGTGTTTTAAAGCTCACCTGGGCTAAGGTACTTGGCCCTAGGACTAGGCAAGTAAGTCGGCCGAGTCCGAGTGGACTAGGCCAAGGTATGAACAACGCCAATAACGTAATAAAAAAAACAAAGTTAGAATATTAGAATATTAAAGAAGTTGAAAGAGGTAACAGAAATCATTAGAATACTAAAGAAATTGAAAAAAAATCCACAAAAGATGGATTATTGAATATTTTGATTTATACCTTGAATACTTCAAAACAATAACAAGAAAAAGAAAATAAATAAATAAGAAAGTTCCCAAATCATCTTAAAGACCATCCAAATCATCTAAAAACATATCTCTAAATAACATAATGGTATTTTCCATATCTTTTGTGATTTTTTTTACTTTTTTTAAATATTTTTAGGGTTTTCTTTTGTGCCTAGACTCGGTTGACTCTTGAAACACTGATGTAGAATTTGGAAGAAAGCAAAGCAATTTAGGTTACCTAAGACTACCATGGTTGCATATAAAAGTCTATTCCTATTCTTTTTTATTTGGAACCCAAAACTCTTAAGAAGGAACAACATAAAAGATGAATTAAACACCCATACAGGTCAATGACATTAGAAGAACTTACTTAGGGAAAGTGTCTTTTAAATAAAGCAGAAGAAGAGACAACCATTAACCAAAGAAAACCAAAATAATTGCCATATTCAATAAATGAATCATTAGGTTGGTTACCTTGGCAATTATATCTTGAAGGTAGGCATTTCGATATTCTATAGCGGACAGTCTTTGCTCCATAATTCTGATGAGGTCTGATGATAATTGAGGCTCCAAATCTGGAATTTCAGAATAATTATGCTGTGAACCCTTAATATGTTCTGAATATGAATTAAATAATGGAGACCTGTTCAAATTCCCTTAATTTCATGAAAACTGTCTCATTCAAAACTCAAAGCATTTCAACAGCACAAATATATATATACAAACAAGGATATAAAGTGTCCAAAGTTTGTTGAGCACAATTATAAAATGCTCTAAAGTGTGAACATCCTAACATAACCCATATATATATATATATATGAGTAATGATCCTATGAAACCCTCCCACACCCATGTATATAGGACCCTAAAGGATCATCATTAAATTTATCACAGATCTCTAGAAAAGTTATCACATGGGTGTGGGATTTGACTTTTCTAGAGATCTGTGCCAAATTTGATAATGATCATTTGGGATCTTATTCACATGAGTGTGGGAAAGTCTCATAGGATCACTACTTATATATATATATATATATATATATATATATATATATATATAGAGAGAGAGAGAGAGAGAGAGAGTATATACTACTATACTACTAGTAGAGTAGAGATAGTACTTACTTACTTACTTAGTTAGTAGTAGTAGTAGAGAGAGAGAAGTAAAGTAAGTTTTACGTT